CTATCAATTTTGCTTGAAGAAGGCGGAAGTGTATCCATCCGGCTTTGTTGACTTATTGTCTCCAATATCAAACAATGCATCTTTTATTTCCGTGTCCGAGATAGGTGCTACAAGTGAACTTGCATCCTCCTCATCTAGACATTTCCCCGAATCAATAATGCACTTATCAATTGGAGTACAAGCAACCAGGGTACCAAACAAATTTTTGTAAGAACTATCAAATTCACTTGCCACTTGGTCAAAAGACTTCGCAAACTCTCCATTGGGTAGCTTCAGAGTTGAGATGGAGTTTTTAGCAACCTTCTTTTTCACAATTGAATGAAAGTATCTCGTACATCTATCCCCTTGTAAAAGATGAGTTGTAACACCAGACCCGAATTTTACCCAGAGATTTTTTTCATCGAGTACGGCGTTAAAGAAGGTAAATCAAGACTAAGAGTAGTCTTAATAAATGAGAATGCAAAATTCTCTCTCTCCCTTACCCTTTCCGTGAGGTGGGGGTGAGGGTGGGGTGGGGTGGGGGGGGGGAGAACAATAGTTACTATCTTAGGTTCGTTTAGTAGCTTAGATAGTTATTTTTGACACATGTATTTTGTTACTTCTGGGTGATATTTTAATATACTTACATTTCATCCAAAAAAAAGAAAGATAAAATGCATATCTTAAATTAATAAAAGATTATTAAACCAGACGTGTGACCTACATCGGGGAGTAGGTGCAATTGTGCAAACCATCCCCGTAAATGTTCACCTATAACACTGGGTGAATTAGACATAGCATCTTGACAAAAAGGTGCAACAAATTTATTTTTATGGATTAACTTATACCGTGTAGTAAAACTACACGTGGGACCCATGTTGGTAGCAGGAACCACCAAGGTTATTTACAGCGCATATAATATTTTGACGACCAAGCGGGTCGGGGCCATTATTCAATGGTTACAAATTCTTTATTATCGAACTAATAATAATTCAGAAGACTACGAATTAATTACGAAAGAAATATAACTATTTTAAGAGCCCGTTTTGGTAGCACGAAAATCGGCTTATTTAGCTGTTTTTGCTGAAATTTATGAAGTTCTGGCTGAAGTGGCTGCATTGGCTGATTCTGCTGATTTAAGAAAAATTTATTTTGAAAATATATTTTATTGAAAAAATAAAGAAAAAGTTATATGTAAAAATAGCTAAAATGGTCATCGGCAGTAACTTCAGCCAATACAGCCAGAAAAGTAACTCCAACCTTACTTTTTCTGCTTATTACACAATTTAGCGCACGAAAGCAAAAATTACGTGTTTGGTGAAAAGCTGACTGATAAGCCTAATAAGCCGAAAAACAGTGTTGCCAAACGGCCTCTAAGAACCCGAAAAATAATGAGATGATTGATATATGATTATACGTTATTCGTAAATGGAAATGAAAATGTACAGGTTCGTTCACTTTTCTTTTTAACTAACTATGGATATAATCCTATAATTTATGCCAATGTCCATTTTTAGTTACGTATATAATATATTAGGTTGGGAACGAAAAAAATTGCAGGAGTTTGCGAACGAAGAGAATGAGAAAAGAAATAAGTAAAAGAAAAAGAAAAACAAAAGGGAAAGGATAAAATTGACACGTGGCCCACCTCATTGAGAGTTTCTGAATTCAATTGAGTGTTTTAAAGTACAACAAGACTTTCTCTACATATTTCTCAAGAGTTTCTTACTCAACTACAATCATACATTTCCGCTTTATTCTCAATTTCTTAAACTTCAATCCAAGTTAAACCTGGAAGAAATTATGAGACGGAAGGAGTATATATTTTTTTGAAAATATTACATACTCTGTATATAATAGTGTTAAGACTCGGGGCTCCATCGTAAAAGGTCAACCTAATAAGAGGAGTAGCTCATATGTTAATATAGCACTTTGTTCATCCAAATGTGTCTGGTATGGGACATTTAACACCCTTCCTCACGACCAGACACTTCGTCTGGATCGATCCATTCATTTTTTTTTCATCGGTCCGTGTTTTTTTCATCCGAACGTTTTTATAATCGTGTCATCATTTTTCATAAGGGGCCCCACACCATGGATCGATTTGGCTTTGATACCATATTAAGAACTAGGAAATTTGGAATGTCCAAGGGGGCGATTGCCCTCCATGACCCCGTAATCCCTGCCTGATAGATTAAAGTATTAAACCCATGTAAAGATATTTGTGCACGATTTGAAAGAAAATGAGTAAATAGAACTGAAAGTCTATACTATGACACAAAAAAAGAAAGTACAAGAATTCTCCAAGGGAAAAACTCATGAGAAATTTAATTCTCAATTAGTATATCTCTTTTTAAATCCCATGCAATTAGTTTTAGTTGAATTATTACTATATAAACAAGTATTACCCCGTGCTCTATAAAGTTAAAATAAAGGGTAATTCTGCTATTAACAATTATTAAATTAAATATAATTGTTATTCATAACCATTAAATTAATTAAAAATAATTCTAATACCTAAGTTGCCCTCAAATGCAAATAGAGGAAGAAAGCACCAAGGTCTCGATCAATTTGTCTCGCACTTGTCCCATCCCGATACCATTTGCCACTCATCGTCGCTGCAGTCAGGGACGGATCCAGGAAATTGACTCAAGGGGGCGAAATTTTTCGTTAGTGTAGATGGCGAAAATTTTTTCGTTAATGCAGCGGCGCGAATTTTTTTTCCATAGTGTAGTGGGGCGAATTTTTTCGGTGTTGTAGGGCTATGCGGCTATTTTAATTCAAAAAATGACATTAATACATACACATTCCCAACGATATTTAAATCTATTACATTCTAAGTTTAGACAATGACAAAGACATCAACCAATACATTTTAAATAACTTCTACATTGTTTAACCTCATGAATCAGTTATTGAATTGTAATTTTTGTCTACCAAGGAGGGTGTTCGTGAGTCATGACTCATGAGAAGTTTTCTTAATATTACAATAGTAATATTTATGGGATTATTATTTTTAGATAATATGCACCACATATTATATATATGGTACATATTATATTTTAATATTTGTATTAATGCTATAATAATTTAAAGTTTATTATCTATGCAATAAATTATTTTTTAGAAAGCAAGAAGTAAACAAATTATGTACTTTAATTTCAATAAACATTTATATTTTGGATCATTTCACGTGATCTAAATACTGTGTAATTAGTGTGTCTGATATTTAATATCATTTGATATATATTTTACAAAATCCAGTACTTGTTATCTAATAAAGATAATTAAACATTACAAAACTAGGAATTTTTATATAATCAGTATCCCAAATCTTAAACAACGAGTTATTCTATTGTTTATTTGTTTAAGTTATGTAAATTATTTTAGATGTTACTTCTTTCAAATCTCCAATTAAGTATTACATAATGTAAGACTATATATTAATTTTGAAAATTAAAAGCTAAGGGGGGCGAATCTAATTAAATTATGAAAGTTCTATGAAAATATTACATATATGGTAGAAAATTTTGAAAATCCAAGGGGGGCGGTCGCCCCCCGCGCCCCCCCCCTTAATCCATCCCTGGCTGCAGCCAAGTACTTTCCTCCAACCAAGATCGAATTGGAGCTCACAGTCTTATATCCACCCTCCTCCATCATGTGTGTGTGTGTGATCAAGGAATTCCTTCTGATTAATTATTGTGGTTGGATTTCGATTTACAACATTTTGTCTACATTGTTCTTATCAATTTTAATTTATAGTTTGTAATTCGAATTTTGCCCGTTCTCCAGGACAACAACGAAGGTTGCATCAAGCATAATTTGATGATAATAACAATTTCACCTTCTTCAAAATTTATGGTTAATGCATGTATTCATTTGTTAAATTCTATTTTTCATTTAGAGTATCTATGTGTGGATGTATCGATGGGAAATGTATGTATGGGGCTGTGTGATACCGGGAATCACATAGTAATAAAAGCCCTTGACTAGGATGACCTTTGAGTCGTGGTTGTTGCATGAATAGTGATAATACGTTAACAGAATAACCAATGTCAGGTCTGGTAAGCGTAAGATAGATGAGCTTTCCGATCAACGTACAATACCGGTCTCGTTCATGGAAATAAGGACCAACATGGGATTGAAGATGATGATTCTGAATGATGGGAAAATCAACCGACTTTGCTCATGTCATTCCGGTTTATGCTAGTATTTTCGGAACATATTTTCGCGGACATAGAAAAATATCATTTGAGTTGCGTGAAGTTTCAATCGTAAGAAAATATTTCATCATATCTTACCCTTCTCCTTGCTAGTGAAAAATGTAGACAAAAATGAGAGTAAAAATAATCATATCATGATTATTTCCAGCGATAAGCAGAAAATCAACATAGACAAGAAAACAAAGTATATGACTGCCACACTGGAGAGTAAAAAAGGAATAATCTGCATATGATTGGCGGAACCCGTACGATTTAAGTGTAAGGTGTTAGAGACTGTATAATCCGTACGAAATTTTTGGGTCCGTTTCTGATGGGTCGCGAGTTTCCGTATTGTTTGGGCCGCGCGTCCTAGTTGCTTTGGGGTTAGGTTTTACTCTCTATAAATACAAGCTCTCTCCCTTGTAATCTATTGATCCAAAAATTAATAGCAATATCTTGGCTTGGTAACGCCCCCAAACGTAGTAATTCGTGGCGAACTGGGTTACCAATTTCATGTGTTCTTATTATTATTCGTGTTGTGTGCGTTAATTCCTAACATTAAGTGCTCCAGTTGTTGGTAAAAAAAGTGCTCCAGTTAATTTGAAAGTTGTTTACAACGTGTGCTACATGAAATTGAGGTAAAAAACTTCTTGTAAAGTAAACCTTAGAAATAACAAACGAAATGCAAAATTCAGAAAAGAATTATAAAGTTGTATAATAATTTTCATGATTTCATAAACTTCTCTAATAAGTCATAAGTGTGTGACTTAACTTGATAACATGTTGTAAATCATTAGAAATATCATACCACAAGAAAACCTAGTCTATCTTCTCCCGCAAACATTCTTTAATTAGCAAAACACACGTCCATATACTTTTACTAAGCCTTTTGTTGGGATTGGAAAATTCTTCTATTCAATATCAAGAACAGAATTACAATAGGAGGAGCAAACTCTCACACTCAACTATTACAAAAAACCAATCCTCACCAATACACTTCTACTCTAAGTGTATTTCACTCTTCACACACTTTTCTCACTTTCTAAACTGATACTATGAACAACAATAGAACACTCTATTTATAGGCTACTTTGGAGACAAGAGGAAGTTGCATCCATGCTTCCATAGTTATCTCCATATCTTCTCCCATCTTTATTTGTTGGAGACCTCCTTCCAAGAAGGTGTGAGATGCCTCTTGGCAACTTCCAAGAAAGAAGGTGGAAGAATCCTACAAATCTCCCCCTCCACCTTTTTCTTTATTTCTCTCGTTCCTGCGATGCTCGTTGGCTCCCCCTCGCTAACAAGTATCCATTCGGATGTGGAATACTTTCTCTGTGGAACTATGCCTCGCATAGAACGTCGAACATGAATACCTTCAGCTTCGTCTTCAGATGAAGGCTCCCCCTGCTGAGGAATATCATCACTGTGAGTATCATCATCACCTACTGAACCATCACTCTCTTGTTCAGTAGTATCATGCATCTCCTCGTCGCTGAGAGGAATGTTTGATGATACATGCACTTCGTCTTCTGGAGTATGTTGTTGGCGGATTATTGGAACACACCCATGAAACTCGTTTTCATGAAATACAACATCTCTGCTTCGTACAACTTTCTTCACTTCGGGATCCCACAACCGGTATCCGAATTCTTCATCACCATACCCGATGAAGATGCATGGGTTTGACTTGAGATCCAGCTTCTGTCTCAACTCCTTGGACACATGTGCAAATGCCTTGCACCCGAACACTTTTAAGTGAGAGTAAGAAACATCTCTTCTTGACCATTTCTTCTCTGGCACTTCAAAGTTTAAAGGAACAGAAGGTGACCTGTTTATAAGATAACAAGCTGTCAGCAAAGCTTCACCCCAGAATGGCTTAGGTAGTTTAGCCATACTCAGCATGCAGCGAACTTTCTCCATAATGGTCCGATTCATTCTTTCGGCTACACCATTGTGCTGTGGAGTTCGTGGAACCGTCTTCTCATGTCTGATTCCATATGCCGCGCAATATGCTGAGAACTCCCGAGAAGTGTACTCTCCTCCATTGTCTGAACGCAGGCACTTCAGCTTCTTCCCTGTTTCTCTTTCTACCATGGCATGAAATAATTTGAAGCGATCAAACACTTGATCCTTACTCTTCAAACAATAAGCCCATACCTTTCGTGATGCATCATCAATGAATGTCACGAAATATCTGCTTCCTCCAAGTGACTCCTCTTCAATGGGTCCGCATACATCAGAGTGTACAAGACTGAGTAACTCTGAATGGTTCTTCCTGGTAGAACTGAAGGAAACCTTGTGTTGTTTCCCGAATAGACAGTGTTCGCATGGATCTAGGGCAACACCTTTGCCCATGGAAATGACTTCCTTCTTTGCAAGAGTTGTCAATCCCTTCACGCTCAAGTGGCCTAGCCTCCGGTGCCACAAGTTTGGTGATATCTCTTCTTCAACAGCATTAAGACTTGGATGACACAACTTTGCATGAGTTTTATAAAGAGTACCACAAATATGGCCTCTTGCAACAACCAAGGAACCTTTAGATAACTTCCACGTACCTTCTTTGAATCGGTTAAGATATCCTTGCTGATCCAGAGCTGTACCGGAGATAAGATTCAATCTAAGATCCGGAACATGTCGAACATCTTTCAACACAAGTGCGCATCCGACATTGGTTGTTATGTGCACATCACCAATGCCAACAATCTTCGAGAAACTGGTGTTTCCCATCTTCACAGCTCCAAAGTCCCCGGACTTATAAGATGTGAATAAATTCTGGTGTGGAGTGGCGTGAAATGATGCGGCTGTATCAATCACCCACTCAACATCATGAGTACCTACGTGTAAACATTCTTGTTCACCATGTGTAACAAGACACACGTCTGATGACAAACTAACCATGGTCTCACCATCATCTTGGCTAGTATTTTGACTCGTCTGTGGCTGCTCTCGTAGAAACTTTCTACAATCTCTTTTTCTGTGCCCATAATTACTACAGTAATTGCAATATCCTTCAAACCAAGTACTGTTTTCAAAGGACATACCTCTCTCTTGTGATCTGCCGCGAACTTGAGAATTTCCTCTGTTTTGACCTTGGCCTCTACCTCGACCTCGAGTTCTTCCTCCATTTCTGCCTCCCCCTCGTCTGCTGGTTTCTGACACGAAGGCATATGATTGTTCAGTCCCGGCTTCTTTTCTTCGGGCTTCTTCATTCATAAGGGCATCTGTGACCATCTGCATAGTCACTTTGCCATTGGGAGCAGAATTGCTGAGAGTGACAACAAGAGTCTCCCAGCTGTCAGGTAGAGAGCTCAAGAGTAGTATCGCCTGTTCTTCATCTTTGAGAACCCATCCGGTGGTGCTCAACTGATTCACAAGATCCTGGAATTGACTGGTGTGTTCTGACACCGAAATACCTCCTCGTAATTTGTGGTTTACTAATCGCCTCATTAGTAAAGTCTTATTTCGTGCGGTTTTTGCTTGATACATGCTACCAAGCTTCTCCCATAGTGTGTAAGCACTTTGTTCTTGCGCAACATGGTGGAACACACTATGATCAATCCACTGTCGAATTTGTGCGACAGTTTTTCTATTCATTTTTGTCCATTCTTCATCCGTCTTTTTATCCGGTTTCACGCCATTATTATCAAGAGGATCAGCTAAATCCCTCAAATTTAGCAAATCCTCCATCCGAGGCTTCCACATATTGTAATTTGTGGAAGTGAGCGCAATCATGGTGTCCGATGATGATTTATCCATAATAAAACGCTCAAAATATCTCGTACCTTATTTTCGGAGCCGAATTTGGACAAACGGAGCTCACCGTTGGATCCGGAATGGCCGAAAATGGTAGGAACCGGTCTGACCTTGTCCAAAACCGGTCCGAAAATGGGTGAACCGGCCTCCACAAGTACGAACCGGTTCGGTCCGGTTCAGGCAGCAGCCCAGTGAGCAGACCAGCAGGCGGATGACGTGGCAACAGCTGGCTCTGCGCTGGCGCTGACGTGGCGCTGACGTGTCACTGACGTGGCGCTGACGTGTCGCTGACGTGGCACCTAGAGATGGCTTGCACGGATGACGTGGCGGATGACGTGGCGCTTACGTGGACTGACGTGGCGGCTGACGTGGCGGCTGACGTGGCTCGTCTTCTTCCTCTGGACTGCGTGATGACGCAATGATGACGCAGGCAGTTTTCCGGCGCGTTTGGGCGGCGCGTACGGCCTCTTCCGGTGGCCAAAAAATTCCCAAAAAATACCAGATTTCTCGTCTCGACGAGACGAATCTAACGGTATGATCAGATCGTGATTCCGAGCAACTTGAAAAATCACGATTTTCTAACCTGTAGAAATTTATCTGAAAATAAGAAAACAGTGTATGAAAACTCAACCTCGCTCTGATACCACTTGTTGGGATTGGAAAATTCTTCTATTCAATATCAAGAACAGAATTACAATAGGAGGAGCAAACTCTCACACTCAACTATTACAAAAAACCAATCCTCACCAATACACTTCTACTCTAAGTGTATTTCACTCTTCACACACTTTTCTCACTTTCTAAACTGATACTATGAACAACAATAGAACACTCTATTTATAGGCTACTTTGGAGACAAGAGGAAGTTGCATCCATGCTTCCATAGTTATCTCCATATCTTCTCCCATCTTTATTTGTTGGAGACCTCCTTCCAAGAAGGTGTGAGATGCCTCTTGGCAACTTCCAAGAAAGAAGGTGGAAGAATCCTACACCTTTTACGTACCGCCTATCATTTAAACACTGCTGGATTACAGACATAGTGACTTTCTCTTGCTTGCATGGTAGAATGTGAACAGGAGGGTTTTGAGGACGTCACGTTGCTTATGACTAACGCCGCTGCAGCGGCGGGGTCACCCCGTTGATCCCGCTGGACAAGAACGTGTGGAAGAAGAAGTCATTTGCTGAGGTTCTCTCTAGTACCAGTGATCCGCCTTTCTCAGCAAAAACACATCACCGTCATAAAGGCTTGCCAGCTATTCAATTCCCGGACAATGAAGCTCAGACGCTCAAAGAACGACATAAGCGTTCTTTAGTAAGGTATTTCTTCAAAGGAAGGCCTAATCTTTTAGTCATTCGAAAATTTTTTGAAGTTATTGGTTTTGCTAGAGTCTTTCATCTGGGAGTGATTGATCCTAAGCATGTTTTAATTCGATTTGATTCAGATGAAGACTTTATTAGATGCTGGAATCGACAGAATTGGTCCATACATGGACATTTGATGAGAGTTACGAAGTGGACACCGGCATTCCAACCTAATGTGGAATCACCGGTGGTTCCAGTTTGGATTGGTTTCGAGGGATTGCCTATTCATCTCTTTGATAGGAGGGCGCTATTTGATATTGCAGGGCTAATAGGGACGCCTTTAAAGATAGATGCTGCCACGGCTAATCTTTCTCGTCCCTATGTTACAAGTGTCTGTGTGGAACTTGACCTAACTGTTGACAACCCACAGAAAATCCGGATACAGTGCGGGTCCTATGGCTTTACTCAACAGGTTACTTATGAGGATAAGCCAGACTATTGCAAATCCTGTCTTCATTTGGGACATTCTGCCTCTAAATGTCCCAAACGAGTGCCAAAGCATAATGTTCAACCCCAGCAAAACATCAGGGGTGATCATGAGGAAAGGAATAAGTCTACAACATTAGAAAAAGAAAAGTGGATTGTTAAACAACCCCAAATATTAAAAATAACTAATGGAGAAAATGCCAAGGAAAATGCGAAGGTTTCTGATCCTTCTACATCTAAGCAAATGAATCCTGAGCCCAACAGCAGGGAGATTGAAACAGTGGACATTGAAGATGCCTCAGACACAGAGGAAGTGTACCATAACCCGAAGCCTGAACCTGAACCTGCAGTTCCTAATCAAAATCAGTATGGGGAGGCTAAATATAATATATCAATGGCTCTTGCAGGGCTTACTAACCATAAACCTGTAGGACCACTGGTAGATGACTCTATTCTGCAATTTAAGCATCAGGAGGAGGATCATGACCCTGAAATTGTAGAAAAAGATTACTCATCAGATGGGGGTAACACAGTGTAACACCCCGATTTTTATGAGCTAGTTATATTAATCATTATTATTTATTTTAGATAAGTTAAATAATTTTACTTTATGAATAATGTGATTTATTGTTTTATCATGTTTTTGTTTGTGGCGGGTAACGTTGACCGGTAAACTCTAATCCTACAAGTGAACAAGCAAACATTATTTTAATCCATTATTAAAAATGAGAATATTAGTATATTTTGTAGTTTGGGCAGAATCGTTTTTTTTTATGATTAGTGGTCCGAACCAGTTAGCTTAGCCCAAATAAGCCTCTTTTAGACTAAATAAATCCCTAGAGAAGTCCACGCCTCCTTCATAATAACTGTACACTCGGCTTCTCTGTTGTTCTCTTTTTCTCGTTCCGTAAAAGTTTTCCAGTTAATCCGCCAAAACTCATCAATTCACTGGTAAGTCTATATTGTTCACGCCTCTAGCTCTGTTTCTTCCTAGAAAGCTTTTGATTTGTAAGAAATTTACTATGCGGTCATGTTGCTGGGAGGTCTGATAGTTAGGGATTTGAAAGTTAACCCAGTTTTTCCTATATTAAACTTCTAGCTTAAGGAGTTTTTGCCAAATTTCACACAATGGTTTTAATTTTAGCCAAAACCATCAGTTTTTCAGGAGAGAAGTAACAGGCTGCATTTTTCGTGAATTGCTTAACGATCTGTTTAGAAACAAAACTGACAAACTTTCAATTTTCTACCGTATTTGCTGTCATGTTTTGAATAAGGTCTGATTTTGTATCGAGTTCCTTAAAAATAATTAAGTTGAGTTTAAGTTGCCCCGTTGCCAAATTACTCTCTCGTGAACTCTTATTCATATTTTAAAAAGGATTTTACCTTTTGATTAAAGTCCATATTCATATAAACGTACTTAAAGTTATCAGTAACGGACTACTGGTGTAAAAGCCTATTTCACTTTATTCATTGTGTTCCTAATTCAGAAAGTAGGTTACTTTTACTCTCCATTAAAAATTTAGAGTTTAAGTTGAAGTAGGTTTATTAATGTAAGATCAGAACTCTATTCCTTCGAAACATTGTGTACAGATTCTTAAGAAAAAATGCATTTGTTTAAAGAGACATCCAGTAGAATAGTATTAGTCGATCTTGAAGTTCTTTTAAAAGATGGCTAAGTTCTAATTAGACTATTACACGTAATTAAAGATACAAGGGAAGAGCATACCGGAAGACGTTATCAAGGTGCCACACTTATTTGAGTATTTTCAGTTCACCTTCTACAAGTAAGTTCACTACCACCTGTACATGTTTGTTCAACCAAATGCAAGAAGTCTGGTTGATTTTTAATAGATAATTTTAGACTATTTGCTATTATGTGTACTATGTGAATTATGTGATGAGTTATTTTATTGCTAAATTAAGTTATGTTTATTATCTGGCATAGTCAAGATTTGTTAGTACTTTCGTTTCCAGATTTAATGATGTTTAGTCAAACGTCACCATAAAAAGAACTAATACTTAAAGTGAAAGATTAAGTGATATGTACTCGGGAACTAGATCCCTCAGATTAGCAGTTTTAGTTTTAGATAGTCCGATATGTTTAGTGGGTCGCTCCCCTGAGCTGTCGGATTGGCGCCATTGAGTACATATCACGGGCCCACAGTTAAAATTAGCCACAAAGAGTTTTACAGAAAGTTTATGAGATCTCTTTCAGAAAGTTTTACAGAAAGTTTAATGAGATCTCTTTCAGAAAGTCTTACAGAAAGTTGTTTTTGAGATCTCCTTCAGAAAGTTTACAGAGATGTTTTTAGAAAGAAATTTTGAGATCTCTCCAGCAGTTTTGAGAAATTATTTTAGAAAATATTTCCTTTTGAGATCTCCCTCAAAATGAATTTGAGAAGTTATGTGTTAGTTATGTGTTCAGTGCATGCTTATAGCCTAAATTTATCTATTGATAAATTGGCATAGACTTCTACATATTTTTGTGGATCCATAGTGACTTACTAAGCGTAAAGCTTATCAGTTTTCTTTCTTCGCATGTACAGATACTAAAGCTAAGGGTAAGGCCCAGGCCAAGGAAGATGATGAGGGAGTGGAACGCGTGCCTAGATGAGTTAACGGGAACGACCTTGGCGACTTCTAGCTAAATATTATTTGGTTTTAGTATTTCAGTGTTATAATAAAGTGATTTATATTACTTTATTTTTTATTTGAGGATTTGAAGTTTTAGCAAATTCCTGGATCCAGGTGGTTATCACATTTGCTGGTGATAACTAGATTTTATTGAGTTTTTATTTGGAGTTATATTTTAGCTATATTTGAGTTTTCATCAGGGTTATTTTAATGAAACGGCCGTTGTATTGCAATTTATTTTTAAAAGTAGTGAGTTAGTGTAACGTTTCCTTTAATCCTGAGAGGGGCGTTACACACAGATCAGAGAGAGGACCTACAAATATGGAACGATGCACTCCCAGATATCATTAGAAGAGTAAACTTTGTAGTCAAACAAAAAGAAAAACTTGATGTGGAGAAGAGTAGTAGCTCTGTAGAGGAAGAAGCTCCTTTTATAGTGGTCAGAAGGAAAGGATATAAAAAGAAAAAAAGATCTGCCTGTCATGCCAGAAGTACCTGCAAGGACCACAAGGAGTACTACTAAGAAATTAATTCAAGCTGCCAGAGGGCAGGTTAACAAATCCCAATGAATTGCTTATTTTGGAACACTAGGGGCCTGGAATCCTCCAGTTCCAAGATTAATTCCCTAGTCAAACAATGGAGGATTCATTTATTAATCATTATCGAACCAATGGTGGATAACATCAAAATTGATATGAACAAATGGCATTTGGGGTGGGAGGGTGCTTTGTGCTCTTCTGTTAATAAAATATGGATATTCTGGGATACTGCCTTGCTGAATATTTCAGACATCCTATGGCATACACAACTTGTGCATTTCGAGGTCACTGGTGATATTTATAAAGGGTGGGTGACTGGAGTGTATGGCAGACATACTCATGTGGTCAGGAAGGAGCTGTGGGAGAATCTTTGCAGTTTCTCTAACAATATGATAGAGCCATGGATGGTGGGTGTGAAAGTATATTAGAATATACTTTAGAATATGCTTTAGAATATATTAGGAATATACCATATATAGTATTATTGAATAGCATCTTTTATAGGAATATTCTATCTTTGTAATCTATATTTATAGGGCTTTACCTTTCAATGAAATACACAGAAAATTCTTCTCTCCATCTTTAATATCATTCTAGTTTATATTTCAACATGGTATCAGAGCATTCCATTCCAGTTTAGTTTTCTTTTCAGATTTGAGTTTAGTTTGTTATCTTAGTTTAGTTTTCAGACTGTGTTCTTTCTCCTAGAAATAGATTTCTGTCTCCAAAATCTTCAGAACCTCCTCCTCTTCCCAGAACCTGTTTCAAAATTCTTTCTTCAGGAATTTCATTTTTTTTTAAGATTCTTCAGAACCTTTCAGAACCTTGGTACAGTCCACACAAAAAGAAAAAAAAAAAACAATCAGAACCTTAGTCCCAAACTCAGAGCCTTCGTCCAAAATTCACAGTAGCAAGGCATTTTTCCAGAACCTCTCTTTCTGAGACTCTTCCCAAGAATTTTCCCAGAACCTCCGATTTCAGAAGCCGTCAAACGAGATTGAAAACTCATCTTCGGGCAATACAGAATCTTGCCCTCTGCCCCCCCACCAGATCGCCCTGCCTCTGCCAAATTCTGAAACAAGTTGTTTCCGCCACTGCACCTCTCATATTTATGGCATCGAAAGTTTCCAGGGACAGACGCACATTGTAGTCGTTGGTCGCGCCTCGCTGGGTCTCGCATTATCTCCAGACATCCGCTCCTTCACTGATCGCTCGCTGGGTCTCGCATCAGATCTGCGCATGTGCTTTGGATTTAAGTTTGGAGTCGGTCAAAGCCCAAGCTGCGTATTTTATTCTCCTAAGCCCACAAACAGGAAAGTTGCCGTAAGTTCAGCTCTTTTTATTTGTTTAATGAATATCTCAATTTTATTTTAACCAAAAAAAAAAATCAAAAAAAAAAAGGAAAGAAAGAAATGTTTTGTGCGGGTCAGTTTGACAGAGGAGTAATTTGCAATTACTGCAAGAAGCCCGGGCACCTACTCAAAGAATGTAGAAAATTGCTGTTCAAAAATCAAAGAAATCAGCTTCCTCATATCGCTTCCGCTACCAGTTCATCTGATGGATCAATTGCTATTTCTTCGGACGAGTATGCCAAATTTATTTGCTACCAAGAATCTCTAAAGCATTCATCTGTCCCTATCTTGACAACCACGAATTCAGGTATTTCAAACACATGTCTTGTTTCATCAGCCTCGAAATGGGTCATTGACTCAGGTGCCACAGATCATATGACCGGTAATCGTAGTCTATTCTCGTCATTTCATTCATATTTACCTACTTCTAGTGTCACTTTAGCTGATGGATCTACCTCACCCGTTCTTGGATCTGGTACTGTTGTTCCAACTTCTACATTACCATTATCACCTGTTTTGAGTCTTCCAAATTTTGCATTTAATCTGCTTTCCATCAGTAAAATCACTCGTACTCTTAATTGCTCTGTAACATTTTTTCCTGGATATTGTGTGTTTCAGGATCTGTTAACGAAGCAGATTATTGGTAAAGGACATGAGTCAGCTGGTCTTTATGTTTTGGATACATCCATCACAAAAGGTATCTCTTGTCTTGGGGTTGGGACTTTGTTAGATGCTCATTACCGATTAGGACATCCATCTCTCCCATTAATGAAGCAAATAAATCCCCAATTTAATAAGATGACCTCTTTACAATGTGAGTCATGTCAATTTGCGAAACACCATCGTACTAGCTTAAGCCCGCGAGTTAATAAACGAGCAAATGCTCCATTTGACCTTGTTCACTCAGATGTTTGGGGTGCTTGCCCGGTTGTGTCTAAAGCTGGTTTTAAATATTTTGTTACCTTTGTTGATGACTATTCTCGTATGACATGGCTGTATTTCATGAAACGTCGATCTGAGTTGTTCACTCATTTTTCTTCCTTTTGTGCTGAAATTAAAACTCAGTTTAACGTTCCTATTCGGGTGTTAAGAGGAGACAATGCCCAAGAATATCTATGTGCTACATTTAAGTCATTTATGCTTCAACATGGCATTATTCATCAAACTTCATGCGTTGACACACCTCCTCAAAATGGAGTTGCAGAACGAAAGAACCGACATATGTTAGAAACTGCAAGGGCTCTTCTATTCCAAATGAATGTGCCTAAACAGTTTTGGGCAGATGCCGTGTCTACTGCATGTTTTTTGATAAATCGAATGCCATCTTCTGTTTTGAATGGTAAAGCTCCTTATCATTGTCTATTTCCAAACAAAGAGCTTTTTTCTATCCCACCTAAAATATTTGGTTGCACTTGTTTTGTTAGAGATGTTAATCCTCATCTTACAAAGTTAGATCCCAAATCATTAAAATGTATTTTCTTGGGTTATTCTCGAGTCCAAAAGGGGTATAGATGTTTTTGTCCGAGTACTGGTCGGTATCTTGTTTCTATTGATGCAACATTTCATGAAAATACACCTTTTTCATCATCTAAGGCAGATATTCATGAGAGTAATGATGATATACTCATTTACACGATGACTATTCCTGAGTCCACACTTTCGCCAAATATTCCACAAGTTACTGTTCCTGACCCTAGGCCTCCCGTACATTTGGTATACACCCGTCGACACAAAACACCTGATCACCATCCACCGGCGATACCTGTGATTACTTATCCTGATACTAGTTCGACTCCGATCTCATGTCCTGAACCAGTACCTGCATCTTCAGATCTTGTCTCCACATCAGATCTTGACCTCCCAATAGCACTACGTAAAGGTACGCGGTCTTGTACTCATCCTATTTCTTCATTTGTGTCGTACAATCAGTTATCTCCTGCTTCATGTTCTTTTATCGCTTCCATTGATTCTATTTCTGTTCCCAAATCTGTCAAAGAAGCTTTGTCTCATCCTGAATGGCGTCATGCCATGGTAGAGGAAATGAATGCTTTAGATCTTAATGGTACTGGGGATTTGGTTGACTTGCCTACAGGGAAGAAATCTATTGGATGTAAGTGGGTCTTTGCTGTTAAGGTTAACCCAGACGGATCTGTTGCTCGGTTGAAAGCCCGATTAGTTGCGAAGGGTTATGCTCAAACCTATGGTGTCGATTATTCTGACACTTTTTCTCCTGTTGCTAAATTAACATCTGTCAGGTTACTTATTTCACTCGCTGCAACTCATGATTGGCACTTACATCAGTTGGACATTAAAAATGCATTTTTGCATGGTGACCTTAAGGAAGAAGTCTATATTGAGCAACCTCCGGGATTTGTTGCTCAGGGGGAGTGTGGTAAAGTTTGTCGACTTCGCAAATCTCTTTATGGTCTGAAACAGAGTCCTCGTGCATGGTTTGGTAAATTCAGTCAATCAATTGAACAATTTGGAATGATAAAAGGCAAATCAGATCACTCTGTCTTTTACAAACAAACAGAATCAGGTGTCACATTGCTTGTGGTGTATGTTGATGATATTGTGATTACAGGGAGTGATAATGCAGGTATTTTGGCCCTTAAGAATTTTCTGCATAGTCAATTCAAGACGAAAGATCTTGGCTCTTTGAAATACTTTCTGGGAATTGAGGTAACACGAAGTAAGAAAGGCATATTTCTATCTCAACGTAAATATGTACTTGACTTACTAGCTGAGACAGGGAAATTAGGGGCAAAACCAAGTACAACACCCATGGTTCCCAACGTGCAACTCACTCAAGAAGGCACACCGTTTGAAGACCCAGAAAGATATAGAAGACTGGTTGGAAAGCTTAATTATCTCGCAGTCACTCGTCTAGATATTGCTTATTCTGTGAGTGTAGTGAGTCAATACATGTCATCTCCAACCATTGATCATTGGGCTGCAGTAGAACACATATTATGTTACTTAAAGGGTGCACCAGGACGAGGTATTGTTTATCAAAATCATGATCACATGAGAATAGAATGCTTTGCAGATGCTGATTGGGCCGGTTCTAAAGATGATCGAAGATCTACATCTGGTTATTGTGTCTTTGTTGGTGGTAATCTTGTATCTTGGAAGAGTAAGAAGCAGAATGTGGTTTCTCGTTCGAGTGCCGAATCAGAATATCGAGCTATGGCACAATCTGCATGTGAGATCATATGGATAAGCCATCTATTGACCGAGCTCGGACTGAAGACATCAATACCTGCTAAATTGTGGTGTGATAACCAAGCTGCTATACACATAGCAAACAATCCTGTATTTCATGAGAGAACAAAGCATATTGAGGTCGATTGTCATTTTATTCGAGAGAAGATACAAAAAGGATTGATCTCTACAGGATATGTGAAGACTGGAGAACAACTTGGAGATTTGTTCACTAAAGCACTAAATGGAATTCGAGTTGGTTATTTATGTAACAAGTTGGGCATGATAAATATCTATGCTCCAACTTGAGGGGGAGTGTGAAAGTATATTAGAATATACTTTAGAATATGCTTTAGAATATATTAGGAATATACCATATATAGTATTATTGAATAGCATCTTTTATAGGAATATTCTATCTTTGTAATCTATATTTATAGGGCTTTACCTTTCAATGAAATACACAGAAAATTCTTCTCTCCATCTTTAATATCATTCTAGTTTATATTTCAACAGTGGGGGTGATTTCAATGCCATTGCTAAGTATAGTGAACATAAAGGTACGTCTCTACCTGTCATAAGGGGCATCAATGACTTTGCTGATTGTATTGTTGCTTGTAATCTTGTGGATCTCCCCTATGAAGGCTCTCAATATACCTGGACAGGAAACATAGCAAATGGGAGAGTTTGGAGAAGATTAGACAGAGTATTACTTCGTATTAAATAATAATTTTCTGGATACCTTTGACACTATAAGAATTTCACTCCTTACCAAAACTCCTTCTGATCATAATCCTATACTCATTCAAAGTTCCAATACGGGTATGACTGGACCTAAAGCCTTTAGATTCCAAAATATGTGGTTTCAGCATGCTGCTTTCTTGGAGTTGGTGAAGGAAAAGTGGGACTCAGTGTCAACTGGTGCTGGAATGAGGGGCCTGGTCCTAAAACTCCAACATTTAAAGAAAGAGCTTAAAATTTGGAACAAGGAGGTTTTTGGAAATATTTTTGATGATATTAAAGCTTGTAAAAATGATGTTTTGAACTCTGAAAAAGCTTTTGAAGAGAATCCTAGTGACAGTAACAGGGAGGATTGGTTTTATAAAAGAGGACTTCTAATTCAAAAGTACAAAATGGAAAGGAAATTCTGGAAGAAAAGGCTCATTTACAATGGATTCAGGAAGGGGACAGTAACACACATTTTTTCCATTCATTTGTAAAGACCAGACAAAGAAAGCAAATGATAATCTGCATTAATCAGGATGGTCAGGTGCTTAATTCTCCTTCTCTCATTGGTGATGCAGCTGTGAAATTCTTTTCTGACCTGTACACACAACAAAATTCAGTCAGTTGCAGCGAGATGTTACATTTCATTCCTCAAATCATTACTCAAGAAGACAATACTATGCTAACCCTACTCCCTAATATTGAAGAAGTCAAGAAGCAGTTTGGAACCTAAACCAGAACAGTGCTCCAGGTACTGATGGTTTTCATGGTAAATTTTTCAAGAAATGCTGGTCAATTGTGGGCATGGATGTGACTAGAGCAGTGCAAGATTTTTTTATGGGCCATCCTATACCTAAAGGCATATCTAGCTCACTGATTACTCCCATTCCTAAAACTGACAGGCCAAGTTCTTTTAGTGACTATAGGCCTATTTGTTTATCAAACTTTATCAGTAAGGTGTGTACCAAGGTGATAGTGAACAGGCTGCGGGGCATTTTACCTAAAATAATTTCACAGGAGCAAGCTGGTTTCATGGTCAACAGAGATATTACTGACCAGGTTCTAATAGCTCAGGAAATGGTACATTGCATTGATAAGAAGGTCAGGGGTACAAATTTGATGATAAAGCTAGACATGGCTAAAGCATTTGACAAAGTTTCTTGGCAGTTTCTCTCAGCCATTTTACAGAAATTTGGTTTTTCTTCTCATTTTATTAAGGTGATTATGAATAATCTAGAGGCTACTTTTCTCTCAATTTCAATCAATGGATCACCTCAAGGTTTCTTTAAGCCTACCAGGGGAGTAAAACAAGGCGACCCTCTCTCACCCTATTTGTTTATCATAGCATCAGAAGCTTTTTCAAGAGGTCTTAACTGGCTGGTGAAAGAAAGGAAAATAAAGCCATTCTGGATAGGCTGTCATGGTCAGCCTTTCACACATTTAGGATATGTTGATGATTTGTTGATTTTCTTAAATGGGGAAGCAAGGTCCATTTTAAATTTTAAAAGATTTCTCACTACTTATCA